GGGCTAGATGCAATGCCCAGGTAACTGGTTTTAAAAACAACAGCTACAAGAGCTTCCCTACCAAAGAAGAGGCAGAAGCATCATACTTGGAGTTCATGGGTTGTGAAGATGACAAAGTTTTTGTCATGCCTCCACCAAAGGTGGTCAAGAACACACCGGTGTTATTTGTTGTGGCTATGGTGCAGTCTTTTTTCTTATTGGTGCTCCTGTGATTCGTTCTTGCTTGTTGCTACAACTGCCTGTGATGCTCAAAATGTGCCATGCAAACTTGTAATGACAATGACCTTGTGAGGTACTATGACCCTAATGCTATTAACTATTATATGCCAGGACTGTTCTATGGTTCAAATTTGTCATTAGATGCTCCAAGGTCATTGTCGATGAAAAGGCACAATGAACTAAGACAAACAAATCTTCTGTCTTGCTTGTTTTCCTGAGAAGTGTGGTAACCTCACCAAAACCATACCTTGGTGCCTAGACCTGTTGCTGTGCGGCAAACCAAACAGAGCTAGGGGCACAACTTCATACCACCTAACGCTCCATGCTGGCAACCAAATGAGAAGGAAGTCATCCACGCAAGCCTCAAGTGCAACCAAACACAGGAGGGTGAACGGTGTCAGCTAGGCTAGGAAGAGCCTGGATGGGGCCTTCATCCCGGATGACCGAGCTCAGAGCAACCAATCACGCCCATCATGTACGAAGTCGTGCACTTTCCCCACCCGGTTCTATTTATTTCACTTTCCCCTGTCCTTCAACTCACTTTCCCCTTTCCTTGAACTCCTGATCTTGTAGCGGCGATTGGTTTGTTGTTCATGGAGCCGACAACCAACGATCTGCATATGGATTAGCTTCTTTGATCTATCCTCTGAGGTAATCTTGAATCGTTTCTATTTTCTTCTTGATATGTTCTCTGAGCTCAGTTTGTTTGTGATTTGGGGTGGTTTTGGGCTGGTGGATGGTGCTGTGGGGGTGGGGGTATGTGTCAGATGGCGGTCGCTGTAGGCGGGGTAGGGTGTGGATGGAGCTCCGTCGGCCGCGTCAGCATTTGTCGAAGCTCCGTCCACACCCTACCGCACCATGCGGTGGGGTGGTGGCTGGGGCGGGTGGCGGTGGCGGTGGTTGGCGATGGTGTACTACATCTGAAACGGAAGAAAATGTTTAGGGTTCTTTCGATATCTCCTCCCTCTTTGGACAATCCCTCTCTCCCTATCCAAAGCTGGCTGCTTTAGAAGGGGGGTTTGGGGGAGGCAGGCCGACTTGGTGGTGGGGATGGTCGTGGGGCGTCTTTAGGGTTCTGGCGGCGTAGGTGGCGGTCGGGCCAGGTTGGGGCGGAGGCAACGATGGTCGGATTGTGCCACGGAGGAAGGATGGGTAGGGGAAGATCGAGGCCTCCACAGGCGCCACTATTGTAATGTTATACCACTTTTGTATCTCAGACTAGCTAAGACGTTTTTCCTAAATTTACCTATTTTTCGGGGGTTATTTTGATCTAGGCCATTATAATTCTACGAGTTGAGATATGCCATTACAATTCGACTATTTCGAGATCTGCCATTATAACTATGTCTCTCCTCCATTCATGTCATTTTCTACGCCTGCCGCGTATAATGACCCACTGTCAGACGCGTATGGCTACAAGAACACGTACAGGCCCACTTGGCGCGATCACAGTGCGAAGGCAGAGCGACGGCGCTCACCCGCGGAGGATAGCGCGCGAGGTGGAGCGGCGGTGCTCACCCGTGCAGGCCTTCGCGCGAGGGAGGAGCGCCCCCAATTTCGCCCCCGCTGCCTCCCTCCTTGCCGTCCAGATGGAACGAGTCGGCCCGCTTTCGCGGTCCTGCGCCCGATCCCGTCCCATCGCCGATTGGGGCGTCGTCGTCGGCGGCAGCTACGCCCAGCGCACCAGCAAGACGGCTGGCAGCCGGCTTCGCTTCGCCGGCAAGATAGCAGCGGCGGCAACGGCGCCGCGCTTCGCCCTCCCGCCGCACGCGCGGCGGCGAAGCGCTTCGCTCCTACCACGCACGCAAGGCGGCGGCGTGGCGCTGCTTGTTCGCCGCCCGCCTGCGCCGCGCCTGCGGCGGCAGCCCATCTCCTCCGCGACGCCTGGAGAAGCTGGTGCACGCGCGGATGGAGACGAGCTTCTTCTACCGGCTGGAGAAGCGCGGCATCGTGAGGGCCGGCCCTGGGATCCCAGAGAGCTCGTGGTTCGTGTGGCTGTTGCACTGCCTCTTCGTCGTGTTCGACAGCGGCGTCGACTTGGACTTCTTTGCGTTCGACTGCGGCGCTGAGGAGGACGACGCGTCCATCTTCTGCTCTGCGCACAGGGGCAAGCACGGGGGCGCACTTATCGGAGGATGGCGCCGAGGAGGAACTGCCCTTCACCTCCATCTCCTCATCCCCATCCCGACGCGAAGGAGTGCGGGCGCCATGGTCGGCTGTGCTGCAAGGCAAAACTGCTCTGTGCTCCAGGCCGGGCCGCACGTCCTCGGCCACGGCCGCGCGCGGCTCCTACGGCGGTCGACGCCGCTGGGCCGGCTCCTCCCTGCGCAGCGCGGCGCAGGCCTCGGCTTGGAGCACGACGAGCGTGACCAAGGCGTCGTGGAAGTTGCCGTGCCCGTGCGCATCTAGTGGGCCTGTACGTGTCCATACGTGTTTCTGTAGCCATATACGTCTGACAGTGGGTCCTCGTACGTAACAAGTGTAGAAAATGGCATGAAGGGGAGAGATGGAATTGTAATGGCAGATCTCCGAATAGACGAATTGTAATGGCGTATCTCAAAACTCGAAAAATTGTGATGACCTGGATCAAAATAACCCTTTTTCCAGATGGGCAACCCCTTCTGGCCTCTGGAGGTTCTTCTGGCGTTATCAGCATATGGAATCTTGAGAAGAGACGGCTGCATTCTGTGATTAGGGAGGCCCATGATGGTTCTATAGTTTCACTTCTGCGAACGAACCTATTCTGATGAGTTCAGCAGCTGATAATTCAATCAAAGTTAGTGCATGTGTTTGCATGTCTTCTGTTTGTATACCTGTCTATTCAAATCTAACCTTTAGACTGCCCCCTCTTTTTCAGCTGAGATACTTGCACGTGACTGGTGTAATGTTGTCACATGCCACATGGATACTCCACAGGCATATATGTTGTCTCGGCACGCCGTGGTGGATTTGGCTTATAAGTCTTATAAGTCAACATAATATTTTTCTCTCATAAACCAGAGTTAATAGTATGGCGTCTTATAAGCCAAAACTTTTGTTATTGGTGACCATGTTTTGACACCATCATCAAGCACCATGACACCGGTTAAGGTAATCACTGTGTTCAACTTTAGTTAGTTTCACACTGTGTTTTCCTCTCATAATAAACCAAGGTGAATTTTAAATGCTTGTTTTTGAAGTTTTGCATCTATGGAATTTCATTGTAGACTAGAAAATGTGATTCCTAAAATTCAAGTGCTATTATTTGCTTTCTAAGCATCATTTCTTTTTCTGACAGGCTTGTGTGATAAATGCATGTGGTAATTTTACTATCTTGGGCACTGAAGCTGGTTGGATCGAAAAATTTAACCTTCAATCAGGCTTTAGTCGTGGTAGATATTGACAGTTAGTTGGCAATGCAATGTGCACATGATGGTGAAGTTGTTGGATTAGCTTGCGAGGCCACAAATGGCTCGCTGATTAGTTCTGGATACCATGGTGATATTAAGGTATGACCCTCTCTGTTGTGCAGCGTGCTTCCTGTTGTGATCAGACATGAACATTACGGAGAACTGTGCTCTTCATTTTCTGTGTCCTATCAACTGTTTAAATTGTTTCCTTTGCATTTCCATATTATCTTCAAAACCTTTTAACCCTACAATCAAGAATAGCTGTGTATGATCCACCTGTTTTTTTATCAAAATTACTCACTTTTGAACTTCTCTTTAAGAGTCTCAATGAAATTTCGGCCACAATTATATTAACTATAAAATTGTGTATCTTGCAGGTATGGGATTTTAAAACTTGCAAGCTGAAATCCAGATTGGATGTTGGTAAATCTGTCACTAAAATTACATTTCACCGGCCAAATGGTAGTATACTAGTGTTCAACATATTTGGTATTCCCATGAGGAAGTTTTCAGACAACTAAGAATTATTTGCTATTTATGGCAGGTCTTCTTGCTACTGTAGCAGGTGATATGGTACTTATATTGTTTGATACGGAGTCCATGAAAATGGTTCGTAGATTTGAAGGACATACAGACGGTATCACTGATTTGTGCTTCAGTGAGGATGGAAAATGGCTCATCTCGGCTAGTATGGATGGGACTCTTAGGATCTGGGACATCAGTTTAGCAAGGCAGATAGATGCAATGCATGTTGATGTATCTATAACAGCTATCTCTATGTCTCCTAATATGGATGTGTTGGCAACCACTCATATTGATCAAAATGGTGTCTACCTCTGGTAGGGTTCTGCCACATCACCCTTTCTCAGCCTATTATACCACCCACACATATCTCAATTTATTTTGTAGCTATATATATAGTTCAGAAAAAAAATCATGAGATTGGCCTTCCAGCTGGTGAAATTTCCACAAATATATTATTCATCTCACTTATAGCCAACGGAATAGTATTATTAGTACATCTTTCAACATCGCACCGAACTAAAGTTGTGTGCATAACATGCAATTTTATATGCCGTTATGGGTCATGATATATAGTGTTCTTCCAGTTTTTTTTATATCTGTGGTCTCATACATATGTTATAAATTTGACAGGGCTAATCAATCTTTATTCTCGGCCTCAACAAATACTGAAAATTATGCCAGTGGTAAACATGTACGGAATGTGTGTGCCAGCTCAGCACCTGTCAACCTGGCGATCACTATCGATGACTAAATTTTAAGGAATTTTAGTGGTCTAGTATTTTGTATCATGCTACAATCTGTACTTGATTAGTGGCCTCCCTACTATGTACCTGGACAAGTTTAGTTTGCACTGTAAAAGTACTTCACTCAGACTAAGTTTGTACTGTTAGTGCCAGAGGCAACAGAACCAGAAGCAACTGGCAACCTGGTTTCTTCTGAACCTTTAGCTGAAGGAGACTCAGGCTTTTCCAACAGCAGCCCGCTTAGGATGATCCGGTTCCTCCTACATATCTGCGTCCTTGTCCCCGAGCCTGACATTGCAAAGACAGCTGGCCTCGAATATTGTTTTTGTCCAGAAGTAGGAGTTCTATGCCTTTTGAAGATTGCATTATCGATCTCTTTGTTAGTGTCTAGTGTTCTATCAGTCTCCAAGATGCACCCGTAGGTAGTTTATTAAGTCGATCCATTAATACCCACCATGAGAATTTGCATCTTTAGAAATGTTCTTAGGATGTATCTCTTGTAACCTATTCTATGTTGAATCTTTATGCACATTTTCATTTATTAGTATTGCAGAATGTGTTCCTGTATGGCACATCACACGTAGAATGGTTCTCCTGTATTTGGGATACTACGTGTAACGTGATAGGCTTGCACTTTTCTCCATACTTTTCCTACTGTTACTTGTCCTTTTGCTTCTGTTCAATTGTCACGACCAGTCTCTTCTTAATAAATAAAGTGGCTTGCTTCAGCCGTCGGACTTTTATGTGCCACTGTTTAGCTTCCTCCAGTTCTCACTCAGACTTGTGTTTGAACAATTGTTATTCAGATTGGCACTTCTATGATGTTCTGTTCACAGTCTACCAACTCTGGCTTGCGTCAGCTTTGATCATGCACACTGTGCACATGCATGATGTTTTTTCTATAGCAACCATCTTTTCTTCGACTTCGACGCTGCTGTATGATGCTCTACTAGTACACTGGCGTAGGAAGCTTATGTGATGTCATGTCTACATCTTCCGCAAACTTCCGCAAACTTCGTAAGAGAGTACTCCCTGCCCAGGTGGCTGTTTAGTTCTTAAAATTTTATAAAATTTTTTAAAATTTTTTGTCACATCGAATCTTTGAACGTATGCATAAAGTATTAAATATAAATAAAAAATAAAATTAATTACACAGTTTAGATAAAATTCACGAGACGAATCTTTTAAGGCTAATTAGACTATGACCGATACTAATTGTTAAATAACAACAAAATTGCTATAGTATAATTTTCTAAAAAAATTCACCAACTAAAAAAGGCAGCAAGAGGACGTTTTGACATTAAAAACTGTCTCACAAAGAAGGTCGTTTGAGACCATGGGTCCCACCTGAGGAGGGATGCAGGCCTACTACAGCTTCTCCCATCAGTCCCACCAGAACCGGTCTCCTTTGTTGTTTCGTTTCTCACCCTACCAGCGCCACTGCACCCGTCCTCTTCCAGGCACCCCCATCGAGGTGGAGCAGGCCAGCGTCGGTGCGGACCGGAGGAGCCGAGGTGGAGCGGCCCGACACCGAGCGGCGCATCCCGAGCGGGTGTCGCCCTCTTCCTTCTTCCCCGTCTACCGTCCCGCCCAGATCCACGCGCAACCGAGGTCACCGCCCAGCTCGAGATCCAGGGCACCGCGACCTCAGGCAGGCGCAGCCGCCGGGCAAGGAGGAGGCGCAGCCGCAAGGCTTCCTCCACCGGTACCCCTCGCCACCGCCCACCGCCCCTGTACCGGCCGTCACCTCCTCCACCGCGCATCGTCTCCACCGCCATCCCCTCCCCCACCGGTCGCCTCCAACACCGGCGCTCAACCTCTTCTCCACCGTACCGACCCCTCCCTCCAGCGGATGTGGCCCTCATACGGCAGGTCTTTTACCATAATCATTGGTACTAGTGCCGGTTCCTAAAACGACTAGTAATATGCAGAAGGCTCTGAACAAAATACACGATGGGGCTCTAAAATTCGAGAAAAAGCAAAGCATACTTTCAATTAATTATAAAGCTTCAGGATATATATGGGTCTTATACTACTAAGAACATATCAAATATTCAGTATGTTCGTTTCGGTTTATTCGCTCGTATCTAGCTTATAATCCATGGCTGAAACAGTGTTTTTCTCTCACACCAAACCAGCCAGCGGTACTTTCAGCCACGGATTATAAGCCAATTCAGCCGAAACGAACATACTGATTAATGTTAAAAGAGTAAAAAGGTACTTCATCCGTTCCAAATTATAAGACGTTTTGATTTTTTAATATATTGTTTTCACTATGCATCTAGACATAGTGTATATTTAAGTACGTAGCAAAAACAATGAATCTAGAGAAGTCAAAACGTCTTATAAATTAGAACAGATTGAGTAGTACAAGTAACACACTAGCATCCCTAGTATCGTGGAACAAGAAAGCAAAATAACAAAGAGAAAAATGACTAGACCAAGGAAGCTAAGTTGCCAAACAGGCTGGTGGATATGGTCATTGAGCCTTACGTTGGTGAGTTGATCCAATTAACAAATCAAAAATTGTAACTTGCAAGCCCTTTTAGGATATGCTACATATTTTTCCATTTAAAAGATTAGCTATTACTGTAAATTTATTAGTACTTACTGCATCCCAACATTCCCGCACTCCTGATGGGAGTAAGACCCAACCACGGATATCACACACGTGGGCAACCACGGTTATTAGTACTTACTGCAACTTTAGAGGCCCTTAAATTTTGGAGGCCCTGAACACTTGCGCACCTTGCTCCTGTCAATCTACGGGCCTGGTAATATGAGACAGAGGAAGTATTCTCTTCGACGTGTGGGAGTGACCATTTGTATATATATAAAAATAAATCTGTAAGGTGTGCCAAGCACTTTTGCATTTAATGAAAACATTCTTTCAGAGCATCGGCAGACTTGGGCCTTGTTTAGATGGTAAGTTTTTTCACTTTCTCTATCATATTAAATCTTTGGACATATACATAAAGTATTAAATATAGATAAAAAAAATAACTAATTACACAATTTGATTGTAAATTACAAGACGAATTTTTGAGCCTAGTCAGACCATAATTGAACAATAATTGTCAAATACAAACGAAAGTGCTACAGTGCTAAATACTGATTCCTAACCCCAATCAAGGCCCTGGTATAGACTTGTCCGATTCTGACCCATTAATTTCAAACAGCTTCCTTTGAAACAGGTTCTGAAGCCATTAATTTGAAACTGCTGCCAATTTCTCCATGGAGTTCATTTTTGCAGGTGTACGCCTTAGATTTTAGGAACGCTGTGCACCTTGACCAGTCCTCCAGGCCTTTCATGTAAAGTACATCTGAATTGTACCTGAGCAATCGTCCCTGTTGTAAGTGTGAGTGGCATTAGCTCCTTCCATTTCATCTACATACAGAGTGTACATGTCCACACGGTAGTCCAATCCAAAATTATTAAATTGATTTTTTTCCATCTCTTGTCTTTTTAACACTTGGTTCACTTCTACAAGACCATAAGTTGGAGAACACCCGCAATATATGATTTGTACTATTCTGTACCCATTATTTGAAAATATGTCGAGTTAAAAAAAAAAGAACTTCAAAATATATCCCCTAGGATGTGTTTTTAAGTCAAGGAGTGCATAATCTTTCCTCTCTTCGCACGTCCCTGTTGTTACCAGGTCTTGGCTTCGCTTCATCAACATACAAGATGTAGCCACCAAGGTCTGCTCCATTCAGCTCATATGCTTTAGCCATGGAATCTGGGTCTTTTAAATGCATGTATGACATCCTGCAAACCAAGCAATGCGTCGTGTCAATGAGTCAACATGAATGGAGACTTTTGCGGATGATGACATTCCAAATGAAACTAGTATCAGCATTCCTCCTGAATCTCTTGCTGAGCAGCTTCAATAGTAGTAGCAAATTCAACATGTCTATAACCCTTGAAACTCCCATCATCAGAAGTAGACAAACGAACATCTACAACTTCGCCAGCCTCCTCGAAAAATTCCTTACTACAGGATGTGGCGAAATGGTGTTAGTGGCAACCCATTTGGAAAAAAAAATTGGCACATTTAACAAACTTACACTTGTTCGCGCTCTGTACTATAGGCTAAATTCCCAACAAAAATAGTCTTTGAACCAGTAGCCTGACTTTGGCTTTTGGCAGGAGTTTTGGGCTGCAGAGATAAGGCAGCTGTCAAACATCCATTTAATATTTATTTAGTACATAAAATTAAAGAAAGACGTAGATTGTAGAATACTTCATTATGTGCCGACTTTTGCGTAGTGTCTACAGAAGTTTCGTGAGCATCAAAGAACTGTTATATCCCAACTAAATAGATGCACAAATAACTCAGTAGCTAGTTATGCAAAATTACAATTATTCCCTTAATTTTAGAGCAAAAGGCTTGCAATCTTTTTTCTTAGAGTTTTAATTGGTTCACTTTCCTCGCCTTCTTTTTTTTGGTTTTATCTGTAGTTTTTACAAGACAGAAAAATTAAAAAGATTACATAGTTACAACAGTGTCGGAGCTGCTGCTATCAGACTTAACATTTTTTGAACCATTACTAACTGCTGTGACAAGCTTCTTTGAAAGGACAGTGGGCTTTCTTGCAGGTTCCTCATTAGAACTGCTATCATCACTGTCACTGCTGCTACAACTAGCAGGTGGCTTATTTGAACCAGCAACTGGTTTTTTGGAAGGTTCCTAATTTAAGGAAAAATAAGTATGTATGATCTTGGTAAGAAAAAAAAAAAAAAAAAGCAAGTGCACAATGCTTACATCATCTGAGGAGCTCTCAGAGCTGCTGTCATCACTGGACTCCTGTTTATTGTGTGCCTTTCTGTGGTTGAATAACCTTCTTGGGCTGGACCTTAACCTGCAAACATGTCCTTTTTGTAGTACGAAGTTTATAGTAGAAATCAAATGAAAAGCTAAAACTTCATTCATACACTAGCTTCCTATTAAGCACAAGAGGAACTGCATACTGACGTCATTAAACAAGTAATTTTTTCTTTATTAGTATATATCAAGGGAAAAAACAAAAGGCCGTTGCAATTGACAACTAAGGTATTAACAGCATGTGAAACTGTAAAGCAACACCGCACACCCTAATCAGGGGATGACCTTCATTATATAGCCTAATAGGCTAGGGTTACAATGTACAAGGCCAATGGGCCGTACACCCAATATGAGTTGTTACTATTACATTCTAACACCCTCTCTCAGTCTAAGCGGGAGTGTCACGAACACAAAGACTGGACCTAAAGTCAGTGAACAACTGTACAGGTAACCCTTTGGTCATAATGTCCGCGAACTGATGAGACGATGGAACATGGAGCACCCGAACCTGTCCCAAAGCAACCTTCTCACGGACGAAGTGAATATCTATCTCAATATGCTTCGTGCGACGATGATAAACTGGATTGGCGGTCATGTAGACAGCACTGACATTGTCGCAGTAGACGATCGTCGCCGAAGAGATGGGTGCGTGGAGCTCCTGAAGTAACTGACGAAGCCAACAAGTCTCAGCCACAGCGTGCGCAACAGCACGATACTCAGCCTCCGCACTCGAACGAGAGACCGTAGTCTGTCGTTTGGAGGACCAAGAGACTAAGTTGTCGCCGAGGAAGATACAGTAGCCTGAAGTGGAGCGCCGAGAGTCTGGACAACCAGCCCAATCAGCATCGGAGTAGGCGGTCAAGCTGGTGATGCTGCCTGTGCCGATGTGAAGCCCGGTGGACAGGGTGCCCTTGACATACCGCAGGACACGCTTGAGCATCGCAAGATGAGGCTCTCGCGGGTCGTGCATGAAGAGGCAAACCTGCTGAACTGCATAGGCGAGGTCCGGACGAGTCAGCGTGAGATACTGTAGCGCACCGGCGAGGCTGCGGTACTGAGTGGCATCCGCCACCGGAGCGCCGTCCGTAGCAGAGAGCTTGGCATGAGTGTCAACAGGAGTCGCCGTAGAATGACACTCAACCATGCCGGCGCGCTGGAGCAGGTCCACAGCGTACTGGCGCTGAGACAGGAAGAGGCCGTCAGCAGAACGCGTGACAGAGATCCCGAGGAAGTGATGAAGATCCCCGAGATCTGTCATGGCGAACTCGGAGTGAAGGAGCTCGGTGATGCGACGAAGAAGCGGGGTCGACGAGGCTGTCAGGATGATGTCGTCGACGTAGAGCAGCAAGTAGGCGATGTCGGCACCCGCTTTGTAAACAAAGAGAGATGTATCGGAGGTCGAAGCAGTGAAGCCGGACCGCTGGACGAAGCCGGAGAACCGCTGGTGCCACGCCCTGGGCGCCTGCTTGAGTCCGTACAAGGACTTTTGCAGGAGATAGACGTGGTCGGGAGCCGCCGGGTCAACGAAGCCGGGCGGCTGCTGGCAGTAGACTGTCTCGTTCAGATGGCCGTGAAGAAAAGCGTTCTTCACGTCCAGCTGATGTATCAGCCAGGAGCGAGAGGCGGCGATGCTGAGGACGACCTGGATGGTGGCCGGTTTGACAACCGGGCTGAACGTCTCGTCGTAGTCGTCGATGCCGTCTCAGCTGCGAGAACCCACGAACGACCCATCCGGCTTTATGACGAGCCGGAGAGCCGCCGAAGACGTAAACTTGTGCTTGAAGACCCACTTGCCGGTGATGACGTTGGCACGAGGCGGTCGAGAACAAGACACCAAAGCCATTGTCCACGAAGCGCCTTGTATTCTTCGGCCATGGCCATGGCCGCCACCAGACGGCGAAGCGCCGGCGAGAGTTGCCCGCGGAGAGAAGCGACCGAGGCCGCCATGGTGAAGCCATACCGCATTGCATGGGCGGCGCGGCGGGAACCCGTCTCGGGAACGAAGTCGCCCACGCAGAGGCTCGAGCCCGGGCACCGCCGCCGCGGTCTTTGGAGCCGGGGGCACCATCGCTCGCGCTCTGGGCGGAGGTATCTCCGGCGGCGGCTGTGGAGCTGGTGTCGGATGCTGACGACGGCTGTATTGGATGCCATACCGCCGCCGACAGGGGGGGGGCGACGACACACTGGCCGGGCGAGGAGGTGCAGAGCCATGGCTCGCCGAGGCGCTGGGGTAGCCGGTGGGCAACGCGCAGTGTGCACAGATGGCGGTCGAACCAACGGGTCGCCGGCATCGCTCGAGGCGCAGACGAGGCAAAGCAACCGAGGCCCATGAGTTCCGAACGTCTGAGGTAGACGGGGCAGGCGCGGGAAGTATATCCTATAACAAAAAGTTAAAAGAATCCGGTCGGGGCTTGGAAGCCTCAAATGGAAAGTGAGTCTCATCAAAAACAACATGGCGAGAGATGATGATCTTGCGAGTGGAAAGATCAAGACACCGGTAGCCCTTCTGGGAAGGAGGGTAACCGAGGAAGACACACGCTGCTGAGCGAGGAGACAATTTATGGGGAGTCGTGGCACTGAGGTTCGGATAGCATAGGCAACCGAAAGCTCTAAGGATGGAGTAGTCTGGCATTTTGCGGTGAAGGAGATGATAGGGAATACCATTATGTATGGATTTATGAGGGCCGCCGTTGATCGTAAACACAATGGTGGAAAGAGCTTCGACCCAATAGGATGGAGGCATGGCGGCATGAAACAGAAGCGTGCGAACAACATTGTTCAGTGTGCGAAGCATCCGCTCAGCTTTGCCGTTCTGGGCGGATGTGTAGGGGCACGAGGTGCGAAGCAGGATGCCGCGGCTAGCCGGGAAGGTAGCGGTGGCATTGTTGATGAACTCGGTGCCATTATCTGCCTGAAAACAGCGCACAGGAAAGCTGAACTGTGTGTGAGCGTGAGCAACAAACTGAACAATATGTTCATGAACTTTGGATTTATGGCGAAGAGGAAACATCCAACAATAATGAGTATAATCATCAACTAGCACGAGATAAAATTTATAACCAGAAATGCTCGAGATTGGAGAGGTCCAGACATCACAGTGAACAAGTTCAAAAGGTGCAGATGTACTAGAAACCGAACTAGCAAATGGCAGCCTAGCGTGTTTGCCTAGTTGACAGGCATGACAAAGGCGGCGAGCTGCTTTATTACACTAGATAGCTGATAGCGTATTTAGAGTAGTGACGACGGCAGGTGCAGGATGACCAAGGCGGAAGTGCCACATCTCCGGGGAAACGACGGCGACATGGCAGCGAGGTGGCATGCGATGTGGAATGGTGTAGAGGTCCCCGTTGCTATTGCACCGAAGGAGGACCGTCTTGGTCTGTAGATCCTTAACAGAAAAACCAGAGGCGTCAAACTCAATTGAACAGTTATTGTCGCGAGTAAGCTGTCAAACAGATAACAGATTACGAGTGAGTTGGGGAGCGACAAGAACATTATCAAGATGAAAAGGACGATCAGCTATTTGAATAAGAGAAGTGCCACGACTAAGAATAGGAATTGATTGACCGTTGCCGACCGTAATGGAGGACGGTGGCGACGGGAGATGGGAAAGTAAAATACCGTCGTTGGAGGACATGTGAGATGTCGCTCCGCTGTCCATGACCCAGGGTGCAGACCCACTCTGAACCGCCATCTGGTTGAGAGCGGCGATCAGGCTGGTCGGATCCCAGCTGGCTGGAGGCCCGTAAGCCGGAGGACCGCCGGCAGTGGAGAACTGAGGCGGCGCGAAGGCGGTGTGTGCCTGTGGAGGAGGCACAGGTTGCGCACCCCACTGCTGCTGCTGCTGAGGTGGCCATTGGACGGCCCAAGGGTTGTAGCAAACCCAAGGGCCGGCCGTGAGGAGCTCGACGACGCCACGCCCGAGCCGCCGCCTTGCCCATGCCGCCACCGTCTGCTTTGCTGCGCCATCGCCATCCGCCATCGCCATCACGCCTGCCGCCATACGCCCACCCTGCCCTTGCCACCCTTGCCCTTGCCACCGCCCCACGATTGGTGGGGTGCAGAGAGGTGGACCGGCAGGACGGTGAAGTGCAGGAGGAGGAGGTGGTGGAGGCGGCAAGAGTCTGGCCGAGGCCTCTGTGCCCTCGGTGCCAAGGCGAGCTCCTTGACGCGAGCATGTTGGTGGCGCACTTGAAGTCGGAAAGCGCGATGAGTTGGCAATGATGTCGGCGGTGTTGGCAAAGCGGGAGTTGAGGCCGCGCAGAAGATTGAGCACGAGCTGCGCTGGGGAGATGGTGTGGCCGACCTCCCGGCGTGCATCACGCCGTGCGCTTCATCTGCTGGCGTAGGTGTCAATGGAGAGGTCGCCGTGGGACAGGTTGTGGAATTCCTTTCCGAGGACGACGCGGTGCGGGACTCCTTGTTCGCCTGGAACAGGGCCTCGATAGAGACGTACAGAGCGCGCGCATCCTGATCGGGCTCCATAGCGAGGTCGAGGACGGCGGCGGCCGACGGAGCCGTCAGACATCCAACAAGCGGATGCAAAGCGCCAGTGAGACCACGAGGGGTCACCGCGCGGCCTCCGTGCCATCGATGTGACCGAGCAGCCCGTACTTGCCGTAGAGGGCGGTGAAGAACGCCTTCCACTTGGAGTAGTTCGGGCGCTCGAGGCTGAGCGCGATGGGGACGTGCTGCTTCACGTTGACGGAGGCGTAGGCGGCGAAGAAGGGAGCAGCGAGAGAGTCCCCCATGGTGCCGGACGACTGGGGGCCGAGGGCACCGGTTGTGGAGGAGGAACTCGACGACGACGTCATGGGCGCGATCCGCGCGGCGGCCTGGAGCGGCAATCGCGCGCGCGACGTGGCGGCGCGACTGGAGGAGGCGTGTGGCCTGGCGATCACGACAAGGGGGGGCGGCGCGCGCGAAGTGCGCCTCGGGCGATCACGACGCAAGGCAGGGGCGGCGGCGCGAGTCTTGTGGGCCGGGCTGGTCTTGATGGCGCACGCCTCACGGAGGACGACGCAGGCGAGGAGGCGCGAGAGCGGAAGGAAAGGACCGTAATTAGGGCTGATACCATGTAAAGCAACACCGCACACCCTAATCAGGGGGGGTGACCTTCATTATATAGCCTAATAGGCTAGGGTTACAATGTACAAGACCAATGAGCCGTACACCCAATATGGGCTGTTACTATTACATTCTAACAGAAACTATAATACAAACATGTAACAAACAATCGATGTCAAATCTCAGTTCTTGATATCCCAGTCAACACTCTCCAAATCTCTCATTTGGATAAATCTTATCTTTAATTGGTTCATCATGATCAGTGTCACTATCTGCAGAATCAGCTCCATCACTTGACTCTTCATGCTCATTGTCCTGCTCACTCTCTACATAACCCTCTTCCAAGCATATCTCTAGTGCTCCAAATTCACATTCTGCATTAGAGTAGTAATCTTTTCTTTCCATTTCAAAACAACTACCCTCTGCTAACGGTACCCCTTGTACTACATGTTCTTGCTGAGTATTGACTATGCATAATGTTCCGTTGGTGAACCCTATCAATAAATCTTGCAGGCTTGTACAATGCCCAATCCCTCCAGAATAAGAAGACATTTCATATTAGTTGCATCAACAGCATTTTTAGTTTACATGTTGGAATTAAGCCAAATAATGTCTACAGCTAAGTTATTATGATTATTGTAGTACGCATTACATTGTTTTCTTGACGCATCTATATTTCTACACAACTGTATACGTTTTCAGATCTGAATCCAAAATAGTCACACATTTACCACTAACAATGATTATATTAGAATTTATACCTTGTCCGAATTGGCGTTCTAATGGAACAGAGACTTCACTGTTCTCTGGATCCCCTTTCCTGCTGTGTTGAGGAACACCAATTAGCTGAACCTGTGTTCAGGATGCCATTTCCCAAATCGTGAAGAAGTGGTGGAACAGAATATAGCAAAAAAAAAAACAATATTTAGAGCGAGACTTAACGGATTCTCCAAATCGTGGAATGTAGCCCTCCATTCCCCATCGATTTGCACTGTTTGCTCCGCCATGGAAGGCGGCCTGGCGTCCTGCAGTCCTGTCGCTACATCACCGTAGTTCATCTTCTCCTCTATACTCTTGCGAGCGGCAGCAACTTCCAACAGCAGAGCCGCCGGTGATGGCGTCTCTTTCCGGAACAGTGGCTCGCCATCGTCTCCGATTTCACTGGACATCCTCTCCAGATGTCGATCCTTGCCTCGCTCTTGACCAATCTGCGATTGCTCGAGTGGGAAGTGTTCCTTGTTACTGGAATCGCCGAGCTCCAAATGTTCTTGGCAGCTCGAGCTTCGTCTTCTACCAAGGCTCTTCTTGTTTTTGAGATAGGAATGGCCGGCGACAGGGGCTTCCAGCCTGTTCGCTTGTGTTTCAGCCAGCCCAAATCAACCAGTCAACATTATTTTTCTCTCAAAAAAACCAGGACCAGCATCAACCAACGAATAGGCCCTGAACTTTTCACCTTACCGCCCCTTCTGATGGACAAGTGGAACATAACCGAACGCGAATCTTGATACGAGGAACACTTCGACGGCCAGGATATCCCCCGCGGCCACACGTACAAATGGAAAATCCACTCTCGTCTCGACAGAGAAGGGTCCGACGACGAACTAGATAGCGGCTGATGGCGGCTGGGAGTCGTCACGCTGATCGCGGCTGGGAGTCGTCGCGGCTACGCCGGGCGAGGACTCGGGGCGGGTGTCGCGTGATGTTTGCGCTGATAGCGGGCGGTATTAGATGCAAACGGTGGCTGTCCCAAAGAAGAAGAAAAATGCAAACGGTGTGGCGGTGGGCAGACTTCGAACCCACGTTTGAGTCGCTTGCTTGGGCAGAGGGGCGCGCGGGGTTGGGGTGAGTTTGAAGCCTGGCATCAAACTTCTTCGGCCGGGCATCGAATTTGGTTTGGGTATTCTATTAGTCCTTAATTTTAATGGAGACAAATTTTTACGTGTATTTTTTTTGGATGCACGATGATTGAAGGTTCTCAGCGGGGGACGTTTTCCTGGGAGACTAGTATAGTTTTCATTGATCCATTATAGTAGAGATAAAACTAGCATTCACGGCAATAAGTTGTACCGGAATGAATAAAATAAATAAATTATGATAGAAAGGTTAGAAAATTGTACCATTAATTAGGATGGAATAAGATAAGAAGAAGAAAAATTACTTGACAACTTTAAGGACTTTCAAACCTAGAGGCTCCCCGCATTGTAGTTCTAGTACGTCTTTCACATAGGGTTGGTATATATATAGAGAGGAAAACTATTTATCTCTATATCAACTAACAATATGGTATTAATTGATGTTGCGTTCTCTATCTTTACTTGTGGGCTTAAGCATTAAAGTCCATTAGAGAACACAAACAATAATGAACCTTGCATGTTTATTAGAATTTCTGCATATGAGCTTTAAAATCTAACACTTTTTCGGTTCATCCTTTGAAACTACATGCTGCACAGACTTGCTATTCAATTATATAAATATATGTTTTGTATGTTCAGTTCCTAGTTCTAGTAATTCGTAATTCTACAGATCAACCTACACTTATATAGGTTTCCAACAGAAATCCTTATCAGTGAAAAGCCTGATTTAAGAAATAGGCACAAACAACCCCCGCCGGAGTACGAACCAATGATATTGATATCTAAAATATAGTTGGGTGTCTATAACGTGGAAGCCCCCAAGATGTCAGCTTATAATGAAGCAAAAAAGATAATGTGAACACCTCCACAAACACAGAGTAAAATAAGAGGACAAAACATAGATCTAATAACAAAATAATGATTGTGTACAAAACAAATTGTAGCCCGGTAAGCCACATGTTTCATGAGAGGCCGACATATATGTTGCAACATGAAAATAACATGAAGTCAGCTTCTAATAAATGTGAAAATTCTATGCTAACAATGGTAGATAATGGAGCTAAATAAGAGCATAGAGCATTAGTCCCATAACTGCGAGGGAATTAGCCACAGAGTATAGACCATAGGTCTCGTAAGAATATAAGAGCATAGGACGTAAGCTTAATTTAAGAAATAGCCATCAACCTGAGGTGTCGACAGAGTACTCTAATGATGCAATGTCTTTTCTGTCAGCCAATACAGAAGGAATTTGCAAGGAAAAAAAAAAAGAAAGCACGGTAGGAAACATGAACAATTACATTGGAACAATGATGGAAAGCTAGATTTACTAACAAGAAATCAGTGTAGACACCTCACTTAAGTTAGCTATTTGTATAATTAGTTTTTGAGTTTTGCAGCTATCTATGATTAGTGCCCTGTTAGTTACTTTATTAGACATAGTTTCGCACTGGTGTACTAACTACTGTTTTGTTTACTAGTTCCGGGAGTGATTGGTTGCTTACAAGCTCTGGAGGCTATAAAGGTTGCAACTGGTGTTGGTGAACCCCTATGCGGAAGAATGCTACTATTTGACGCACTCTCTGCTCGTATTAGAATTGTATGTGACTTCGCTCTGTAAATTTATTTTGTCTTTGAATGCATGGTCACAATGCATCCTAATCCCAGCACCATCGGGGGATGGCAATGTTGCATCCTCCTATCTAGTTTTAACTTGCACCTTCTTTCTAGTATATTTATCGCAGATTCGAGTCTGGTGCATAAATTACAGTAGTGGGATAGGATCATGTTGCCAATCATGTTTTAGTATAAAAGAATTGAAATTGGTTCTCACAAGAATGTAATCCTTTGTAGGACCATTCTCAGCATTAGTGAGAAACTTTGACTCTCTTTTCTTATGGGAACAACCTTTACATTCTATTCTGTTGTATCCTTATATGTGATGGTCACATCTTGATTGTGCCTCATAAAGTTTAGTTTTGTGCTTTTGAACCAATATATAATACCTTCGAGCTATTTAGATTCTGGGAACATAGCTTTTGCTAGCAGGGTTTAAGAGTCCCCTGTTTTAATGTTTCCCAGACCTTCGCATAAAGCTGGTAATGAACCTATTCCCAGCACCAGTAGTTAGTGTTACAAGCCTTCTAACTTCAAAGGAATCTAATTGTGAAGTAGCCACCAAAGCATCCGCATGATCTTGCCTGGTTTCTTCTCCCAGTACTTACTGTGATTTTCAGTCGCCAATGGCATTTGAAACCCTGTTTGAGTATTCATCCTATTTGCAGGTGGTCTGCCATTAAGTGGATTATGGTCATCACTGTAGTTCTGGTCATCCTGCAAATTATTAACATCTTCTGATCCTTCGAAGTTGTTTGCATTGCTTGGACGCATAGCTATAGGACTGTCTTAATATAGCTCATTATCAAGTATATGCATATTTGCAGGTTAAGCTTCGTGGAAGCTCTCCAGATTGCACCCATTGTGGCAAAAATTCCTTTTTCACAGAACAAGATTTTCAGAAGTTTGACTGAGAACTTCACTCAATCACCAATGTCTGATAAGGTAATGTGAATGGATGCAGTTCAGATCATATCAAGAATGATCTTGAAATCTTTGTCCTCATCGACTGTTACATTTACTGCAGGCAGCACCAAGTGTGAACCTACTCCCAGAGAGCGCCCGAATCACTTGCAGAGATTACAAAAAAACTGGTTGACAATAGTGAACCTCATCTATTATTGGACGTACGACCCGCACATCACTTCCAAATAGCTTCAATTTATCCATCTCTGAACATCCCGCTCTCCATGTTGGAAGAGAAGCTACCTACACTTGAAACCTCACTGAAGGAAACAGGAGAGGCATCAACCTTGGTTGTCCTGTGTAGAAGAGGCAATGACTCTCAGAGAGCCGTCAAGCTTCTCCACGAGAAGGGATTTGCTTCTGCGAAGGATATCATCGGTGGGCTGCAGGCGTGGGGACGAGATGTTGCTCCTGATTTCCCTGTGTACTAGCGAAATGGATGTAACAATTATATGCCTCCTATGAGGATTCACGATTAAGGTCAAACGTTTACATAGGACAGAGCTTGTGGGAGTGAGTTTAAGATTGTTTCCCACGCGGTTAGCTATTCTTCTCGGCTTAAGAATGATCTACTTGTTTGAGTTCCTACCTTTTGACAGTTTGAATGCCGCCAGAGTTGCTGCTGTTGCAAGAACGAGAACTCTGATACTATTATTTCAGTACTAATTTTACAATACCGTGTACTTGTAACACACACAAAAAAAAAAAACATCATGGAAGACTTGTATGTTAAATCCGTGATGGCTCATGCCATGGACAAAATAAGATTATAAGATTTGAGCTACAAAATTACTTTAAAGGCAGCAGATCAAAATAAGATTTGACGATGGGAATAATTTTTTTTATCGATAATGATACCCTCAGGGCGTCCGTCCTTCCGGACAGGACGGACCCGCCTCGCGTCGCGCGCCCTTGCTTCTCGTGCATCGCGTCGGACCCACCTCGAGTCGCGCGCCCCTGCTCCTCGCGCCTCGAGCCGGACCTGCCTCGTGCCGCGCACCCCACCCATGCCTCAAGTTGCGCGCCTTTCGCTCCTTGCGCCCCAGTTCGTGCCTCGCATCACGCGTCGCCCCGCGTCTCGCGCTGCGCTCCCCCTGTCAACGAGCTCCATTGGGCGGCAGCAAAGTAGATGAGCACATGTTTGCAACCATATGTTTAATACGTTTCAGATGTATATTGCATATGTGTTCATCTTGATGTTGCAAAAGTAGATCTTCCTCAGGAACGACAATGACCTGGTGTTTAATACTTTTCTAAGGTTACGTTCGATATGCAGGGAATGACTTCCTGGAACCGTTCCTGGCCGGAATGCTTATACAATTTGTATAGGCCAAGCTTTCTCAGGAATCGTTCCTTGCAGGAACGACAAGAAACGAACGAGGCCTAATGGAACCCACCTATTAAAATAGCACTACTTTTATCTATCTATGGAAGAACATTCTAGAGTGCAATGATTATTTTTCAGTTTCTAAGTATGGGGAGAATGATGGAGAAGGGGTAAATATGTAATTTCACACCTACACTAATCTTACCTCGAAAAATGAGATTTACATTCTTTCTGGGAGGAGGTAGTACATTGGAAACCGAAGTGATGCTTATGTTGTTCACTGTTATTCCAAATGTAGCATTACTCTACCTGACGCTCGTTTGAAAGACCTGCCTCGAAATATGCAAGCACAAGCAGAGGATCATCTTCTTGAATCTACACAATCGAGGGCATTGAATCTTAATTACTGTCTCAGATCATGAAAATTATCTGAGGTAACAACAGACCTTTGGTATAGCATGTTCAAAACAAACTGCAGCTTCAGGAAACAATCTATTTGAGAACAGGGTTTGTCCCATTCCAATCAACGCCGTAGACAGATCTGGGTTTCTCTCTACTGCTGTCCTGTGTGCAATATTGATCACCAACTCCCATTGTTTGCAAATGGAAGCGGTAGCCAACAATTGATCAGACAAAGCACAACACCGACTTACCTGATCAGTGGAAGAGCTTGATCTCGGCAGCCAGTCCCCAGATACTGTAATGCTTGCTAATGATAAACATATAGGTATATGCATCAGAATTCATACCGGAACAATATTCCAAGACAAAAAATTGTGCTCCTCAGGTGAGCTGGACACATATATTTCCTTCCATACTTTCCATTGCAAAATTAGGAGTTGTACTCTCACTGGCAGTTCCCTTATCAGATGACATCGATTTCATTTGCAGGTCAGCATCTTTAAGCTGTGACCTCTGTAAATTCATGATAACTTCAGCATCATGATTCAATTGCACATAATGAAAATAACTAGAGCACATAAAGTAGATGGGCATGCCTGCATCATCTCAGGTACCTCAAGAGGTGACTTTTGCGCTCTGTAACCAACCTGAGCTCTAGTATCTGGCAATCCCAACAGCTTGCGGGCAGCATCATTTCTCAAGGACAATTGCTGCGACTTAATCATTTGAAAAATAGAATGTAACATGAAGTACACAATGCTGACTTCACCGCATCAAGCTTGTTCAAATTAAAATGCATGGAACCTGATCTGCTCAAAGGATAGAAATAGGAAATTACAAACAAAAAGGGCAATTCATAAGCGTTTTTTTTTCCTGTTGGAGTTTACACATCTATCTGTTCTAAGCAACCTCTTCGGAGTTCTTGACAGCCGTTGCATTATCATACCATCTGCTGTGGGCTATTTGGTATCTCCTTCAAGGTGTTCTTAGGATCATATATTAGTGTCATTAAGAAAATTTGCGTTGCACCATACGAGCTAGGCTGTGTGCTGCTTTTTCATCTGGAGAGCCAGGTCCAAAGTCCCGTATAGACAACCAAACGCACTAAAATTGCATCTCCAGAGTCTGGTTCTACTATATGCAGGCAACTAAACATGCTATAGAACATTGTGGATGTCAACTGAATCAAATGAATTGGCTTTGAGCTTATGTGAGCCTAATGTTTTCTTGTGGTAAGCCTCAGCGTTGGTATCCTTTCGACATTGCCGATACAAGCATAACTTTGCAAGGATCATGCGTCCTATGTATGATCATGTGTAGTTTTGGTGATTTACATGACAACACAAAGCACTAAGACTAACATGTGTGTGTTAAAATGTGTTAGACAAACATGTGTGTTAAAATGTGTTAGATGGGCTCTAAGAGGAATATAATTGTTGAATCAACAATTTTGGCAATAAATGTTGAATCAACAAATTCAAAGAAAAAATGTTTTAGTTAACAACAAAAAAAGGATAAGGGAAGGAACTTAAAGCAAGATTTGGGAAGTATATAATAGGCTAAAAGAGATGGAAGGAAACTAACCAAAATTACAAACGGACGACTATGTACTAAATATATACTGGTCTAGTGGACTACTATCCAAGTCATTTTTACAACTGAGTTGTTAGGTCAATCTGAAAAGATGAAGGCTTCGATGGCCTCCACGTGAAACTCAGCCAACATAGTAACACAAAATCTAGATGCTGGATACATCCAGTATATCTCCCGTTTTTTCAAACTTTGATAAGCAATACAACAAAGTTTTACTGTTAACCACAAATTAAGAAATTACAAAAGCTGGGTTATATTTTCCTGCTGAGCAATTAGAGCAGTAGCAATATACAACATCTTGTAAGGACTTCATTTCTGAATTGACTGCTGTGGCTGCTGCTGAGCTGGAGGGCCATGAGGCGGCTGCTGCTGAGCTGGAGGGCCATGAGGCGGCTGCTGTCCTGCACCTGCTTGCTGTGGTTGCTGAGATGAACTAGCCTGGCCTGTGCTGGTTGTGCTAGCATCGGCTGGTAAGGTGGATATTGTGGTAGGTAGGGCATGCGCGGTGGAGGCATGTAGCCACCATATGGTGGTGGAGGTGGATAGTATGGTGGATACTGACCATGGTAGTATGGCGGTGGTGCAGGATAGCCACCCTGTGCTGAGCTGCTTGATGGCTGAGCTTGCCCGGCTTGCTGCGGCCCTGGTTTACCTTCACCGTCCTGTGATTTTACTATAGCACCCATCCTCTGTGGATCCATGGATGGGTACAGAGTCCGCTCTGCTGCTGGTGGTGCTGGAATGTTGAAGTAGTACGATGCTGGTGCAGCCTGTTGCTGTTGGCCCTCCACCCCAGGGGGTTGAGGTTGGTCACCGCTCTGCTGCTGAGATATGACAGCCCTAGGGAGCAGTCCTCCATGGGAAACCTGCCCCTGCCTCCCAGACTCATCCTCCTCAGGCTTTGGAGCCTGAGGCTTGCCCCACATCAGCTTCAGGCGCACACCCTTGATGACTAGCTTGTTAGCAAGCTCCTCTGCAGCCTTCTCTGCGCCTTCTCTTGTAGTATATGTCACAAATGCAATTGCACGTTGAAGTACCATCCTTATGGACTCAATCTCACCATGGGCATAAAACTGATCCCTCAAATCCTGCTCAATTATTCTGCTATCAAGTCCACCAATGTAGAGGGTCCTTATAGTCTCATCATCTGGCGGTGTCAGGGATGGCATCTCACCTGCCTTGCCCAAAAGTTTCAGTGCAACTGGGTCATTAATTCTGCAGGGAGCAAGAGATAGTCAGAAACCAAGGCAGAGGAGAGAACAGACATGGAAAATTTAGTAAAGTGAATAGATACATTCACCTAAAGGTTTTTAATAATGAATAATTTAGTTGAACTCATTAACTTGACCTAAAAAACATCAATGTTTGGCATATCTAGAGCGCAATTTTGGCTGGGCGATAAAGGTTTCCAAGATAAAGCTACAAGTTCAACACTTCAACCAAGTTAGGATAGTTTCATGACCAAACAGCATCTGGAGACATCTTTTGTCTGTATACATGTACATGTAAGCCTTTTATCTAAAAAAACATCCATACATGTAAGCAATACAATTTTTACCCAGGTGTGGGTTAACTGTACAGATGCTAACATCAATTGCCAGAAACTAGAAAGACTTAATTTTGGTCTTACCACCTTAAAATCAACAACAGCAGCAGCACAGTATTTTAGTCCCAAGCCAGTCAAATTTTTTGACAAGAAACAAAATAGAAGGTAATATGGATCTTCAAATATGTGTCTAAAATCCAAGTCATAAAGGAAAAGCATTGCTTAATAGGTTTTTGCTATATGCTCCAGAAAGAACTAGATAGACTACATGAACACAGGAATGGCAACATAGTGTTCTACTGATGCGACGCAAAAGAGCTGAATGAAAAATATCAAATCCTTCAGACGCCGCAATGTTGACAAGCAGAGTCAAGAACATAAGGCTATCTGATTCATTATTACATATGATGAAATTATGAACGCCAGTTTAAAATTGCACATGCTAATCAACAATAGTGATAGCTGAAATGAAGCCTACAATACATGCAAATAACCACAAAAAATACACATTACTAAAAATAATGAGTGCATAAGCACAGCAACATACCCATAGTAGCGATCTTTAATGTTCTGCTGAGATAACTCCCCAGTTTCAGGCATCTCATGACGATAAGGGCACTCAGCTCCTCTTGTACATTCACCACGCACAAAGAAACTACAAACATGAGCTCTGTTCCTCTTGTAATATGGTGCTGTCCTCTGAAGCTTCAAAATGGTATCATTTGGACGAGCCTTCCCATAGGAAGAATCATAGTCTATGCCAGCTCTGGCCTACATTTATGAACCATAAACTCTCATTAGGAACAACTATTCTTAGGTCAAATGGAACAAACAAGAATAAGTGCATCTAAGCAGAGAATAAGTGTAATTCATTTCAACCATAGCAGCAAGATAAATTACATCTAAAAAGAAGGCATCTTTTGTTGTTGTCATACTTCAAGTGTATCCGACACTACGATACAGTTTACGGTGACATCATAGAAACAGTATTATAATATACATGATATCTTCATTTTCAGATTTCAAATGAACAGAACAAACCTGAAGAACACACAGTTTGTCTTAGATTTTAGGTAATATGAAAGAAAGTAACAACCCTTCCCCAGACCCCGCACTGGGTACGCCCTTTATGAAAGAAAGTAACAACAGCATCAAGATACAATATTGAAAGAGAAACGTACCCTCCTGTCATGCTCTTCTGCAAAATATTCGCGATTGACATCACTCCTTGGAATTGCATCATTAGAATTGATAGTGAGTGCTGTATCCCGGACCTGAACAGGCAGACCATATTCAAGATCCAGCAGGCAGACCTGGCAGACATTCTTTAGCTTGCAACATGTCTGGCAAATCTCAGTCTTCTTGTACCTTGCATCTCGACCAGGCCGCCACCGAAAGACAGTAAAAGGGCGTGCACAAATTTTGCACTCTTTGTCATACTCAGCTCTTAACTGCAAAGAAAAACAAGAGCCAGTAAGCCATAAAATCGGATTAACATGAAATACTGAAGCAAATGCAAAATAAGGAGAGTTAACTGAAAAGTTATCCACATTCATGTATAACACCTAACTAGTACTACATGATGTGTATGGCATATGGCAAAACCAATTGGTTAGCTAGTATAATTTGCTAGCAAACTAATTTATCCTGGTTTTGCTAGCTAGTATAACTGGCTTAAATACAATTCTCATCTTGTTAAACTACACTATGCATATGGCAAAACCACCGTACTGCACTACTGCTCTTGCAGAACCATCAACAGTAAGAGCAATATTTTTGCCCGGAGTGCTCTTGGGGTGAAATAATTGAAACTAGGGGCTGTTCAGTTGAGGCAGGGATTGCCTTGCCTAGCTAGCAAGGGCCAGCCTTACCTCGTGGCTGGAGCGAGCCAGATTGGTTCTCCCATGCTAGCATGGTATTTCCTTGGCAGGACAAGCCCCAAGACCTAGGCCACCAACCAAACAGCTACCTCTTTCCATTTCCTGGCTAAGCAAGGTGAGGTGAGACGCAACGGAACCAAACAGCCCCAAAACTAGGGCTACAACACATGCATTTGGCAGTGCCCCCGAGGCAAGCATGAGACTTCCTCAACGATCTAATCCCAAGTTCAGCAGCACGTCTATCATAGTTAGTTACACAGAGCAACGACAACCTCACAAAAAAAGCCATTATGTAAAACAACTGATGCCACACGTGCACAAAATTCGACACCTAAACAGAAACGTAACCTAGGCCCGGATCCCATCGAGCAATAACAAATCACAAATGAAAACCAAATCAAGCGGACCACCGCGGTGCAAACCGTATGACAACGCCAAGGAGAAGCGAGCAAATCATTCAGGTAGGGTTAGGGTTTGATGTGTTACCATCCGGACGTAGGGGTTGTCGCCGAGGCATGACTCGCAGATGATGGGGAAGTCCGACCGCTCCCACCCGTCCGCCTGCGCGTCCCGCAGCAGCCGATGCGCCATCCCCTCCTCCTCCTCTCCGCCGCCGACGAGAAGCCGAGAGAACGGAGCGAAGGGGCTGCGGGCAAACGAGACCCCGGCTCGGCAGAAGCATTCTTGGGCTTGGTGTGCTGGCCTCTTAAGTACAAAGCATATAGCCCATCATAGGCCCGTATACGCGACGTTGGGCCCAATGCACATAGCCCATCATACGCCAAACCCGTTTTGTTTTGACCTAAGCTGGGCCGAAAGCTGTTAGTGTTTCGTCCGAGCGTAGGTCAGCAAGCAGATGAGGACTCAGCATCGCATGAATCAGTCAATTCCAGTCGTCACCCAACCTTGCGACGGATTTTTTTAATCCATTTTTAATCAATATTTTAATACTATAATAAAAAAAATATTTGCAAAACTGACCTTTTTGTCACGCCAGCGAGGTGGCGCGACTGGACCACTTTGTCGCGCCACATGCGCTGGCGCGACAAGGGGCGCCATGGTGGCCTCCATCGTTGACCAGAGCTGGCGTGGCGAATAGTAGGGTCCGCCCTGTCGCGCTAGCGACATCGGCGCGACTGGGCTGTCACGCCAGGCAGGCTGGCGCGACAAGGGGACTTAGGTTTAGACGGCATGGACCATTTTCTTCCTCTCTCTATCTCGTCTCCCTTCCCACACGCGCGACCCAAGCCCCGCCGCCGCCGCCTCTACCTCTCTCTCCCCCGTGCCTCCACCTCTCCAGCACCCCAGGGGTCGCGTCCCTCTCCTGTACCGGCGTGAGAGGGAGGCAGCCCCCCGCCACCGCCGTCGTGTGGCCGGCGTGCCCACGTGCCTGCGCCGGCGTCGTCGGCCGCCGGCAGCCCCCGTCGCCACGCCCGTCCACCCCTCCCCCCGCTGCCGGCCTTCCTCACCATCCAACACCTCCGTGTACAAGTTCCCCGCCTCAATTTCTTGATGCTTTGGCTCTTTAGTTGCATTGGTAGGTTTAGCAAATTTGGTATGTTATGAATACATTTTTTTAGCGTTCGTTGTTAGTGTGTTGATGTGTGCATTAGTTTTAGGATATACTCTACTCGTGGATTGGATGTAAAGTTCTTGTTGCATGGACGTAGGTAGTTGATACATGAAGGATTTGTATAGGTATGTTTGTTCCATTTTGTGTCATGGTAATGTAGGTGTGAATGCATTGGGTTAGGAAATGTGTAGTTGATATTGGTATTGATGTGTTGGTTCGTATTTTGTAGATGGATCGGTTAGTGCGATTATTTCATGTGGCAAAGTGAAAGAGAATGGGGAGTTCGAAAGCATGCAGGAACATGTTGAGTTCTTTAGTGGACCTCCTACCTTTGATGCTTTGGTTAGCAAGTGCCGGGATAAATTTGAGTGGCCACTAAGTTTGAGAGGCAGATTTGACTGTGGGAAGGAACAGGCACATTATGTGTTGATGTCTTTGTCATATGAGGATGATTGGAAGAACTACATAGACGTTGTGAAGAGTAGCAGTGTTAGGTGCTTAGAAGTTGTTGTGGATAAGGGGTCTAGCCGAATCGTGGTGGCTGTGGATGACAATGTGGATGTGGAGCCTGTAGAGAACCTTACCCAAGACGAAGAGTTGCGGGTGGTTGTCGTTAGAGAAGTTGATAGGTCATGTGAGCCCGGTGCCTTGAATGATAATTTCGATGAAGAAACGTTTGATGAGGACGATAAAAATAGAGATGGAACACATGATATGGATGACATATCCCAAGGATCGGAGGATGACGAAGTTGATGTTGCCTCCGTGGACGAAGATGACTTTACTTCGGGGCCAAGTACTTTGGATGATGTGTTGGAGGACGAGTACAGGTCTGAGCTTAGTAGCGAGGACGAAAGTGATTGTTGTGAGGAAGGGTTTCCGAACGCAATAGGAGTCCTAGCTAACGGGTCATTGAGAATGGAGTACAATGACGTCGAATTGAGGCAATTGAAGGTTGTCCATGTGGAGGTACCCTCAGTACCAAATTTCATGGACATTAGTATGGTTGACCAGGTGTTGGTATTTATTAACGCAAATAGAATATAAAGGATTCCGCAAGCGCACAGAATACCATTGTAGCATTTTACTGAGAGTATTCCAGGTATCGTTATTTATATTTTACCACAAGGAAACAATGGAGTAAAGACTTACTGAGTAATAGAGGAATGTCTACCAATCAACATACCAACATAGCTAGAGCAGGGGTGAATATAATGATAGGAATAAAGCATAATGACACTCAGGGGATAGATCACTAAAATTAATGTAAACTAGTCAACTAGGGAGAGTAATGGGTGAGGTAGGTTCCTGTGACATTCTTATTACATGGTCAAAGTATATATACACCCAACTATAGCTAAGACTAACTCTACTCTTGTGCACTTCGGGACACCGCTTAGACAGTAGAGCATCCGCAAAAGATAACTCTACTGACGCGACTACGGTCCTACAATTTAAGAACCTGCTCAATTCGGTGTGGACTACAAAGGATAGACAGGGCTGTCACCTCCCGCTGCTACCACACAACCAGAGAATAAGGTATACTCATAGGCAGAGCATCATATAAGCACCATGCTTACGCAGGGCTCGACTACTTAGCCCAACCATGGTAAACTATCAGGCTAAGAGCTCTATGAACCCGCACACAAAAGTAATAATAACCTCAACTAAGCAAGACACATATTAAAAGTAAGCATAGCCATATAGATAGATATATAATGAATTGATAATAAGTCTTACAAGATGTAGAAGTGAAGATACAAGGCTTTGCCGAGCCTCCATGACAAAATCCGGAGCTTGAGCATGAGCCCAACTCGACCCTCACTCTCGAGCTACTAATCTACTGCATTGAAAAGTTCTAGACCTAATTCTCCTAGTGTGTTGTTGATATGAATGAGAGATATGAATTAGGGTTTCCAACATGGCTCTAGGGAGAGGGGTACAGTGCCATATACATAGGGGGTAGCGTCAATTCTAGACCCTTGGATCAAATTGACTTGAATAAACAGCGTGGATGCGATCTTTAAGGCGGTGGAGAACCAACGTAGAAAGGAGAGCCTGACAGGTGGGGCCCATAGGCCAGTCGGCCTAGGGGTGGGGCCGGCTAGCCCCCCTGTCAGCCTCTCGGCTCGATCTTCGGTGGAGTCTTCTGGGGTCTTTTAGAACCTTCTAGAGTTGTTTACGCCGCGGTTAAGCGCGATTTACTTTGACGAATAGGTCCACCTTGATGATTTTCTGATTAAATCCTCCTGCAAACACAGATTCACCAAAACTCATAGAATTTATTAGTTTAAAACCCTAGACCTATGTTGATGATCCTCTTTATGCATTTATATAAGTTATATTGACGGTTTATGATGAACGTTAACAACCATCAACACCAGGCAATATGTGACACCGGTTTGATGTTGTTGGGCTATGAGGTACCCGATAGTGAGGAGGTGGAGATTAAGAAGGGAATGGTATTTGATACATTGGAGCATCTCAAGTATTTCCTAATGGATTATGCCGTTTGGTTTCACATGCCGTATTATATGAGCCACTCCGATAAGAACAAGAGATACACGGTCCTTTGCAAGAATGGATGTCAATGGGGTCTATGGGCTCAGAGGCAGAGAAATGAAAAGTGGAAGATTCGCAATGTGAGGCAACCTCACACGTGTCGATCTTCGAAGCCGAAGGGTGTGCACGCCCAAAACACTGTCTGTTACCTTGGTCATCGTCTTGTTGGCACGGTTAGGGCCGATAGTGACACATCTATTTCAAGCATGATCGAGACCATATTTGGGTTCACTGGTTATAGAGTGAAGTACTCAAAGGCATGCGGGCAAAGCAACATGCTATAGAGTTGCTATGGGGTGATTGGAAAGAGGCGTATAACCAAGTTCCTAGGATTCTAAGTGCCATGAAACACTACAATCCAGGCCTTAGGTGGTATCCTTATGTGGGTCGCATTGTCACGGACGTGGATAGCATTGCGAAGCATGTTCTGCAGAGAGTTTTTGGTGTTTTGCTCAGTCCGCAGAGGCCTTCAAGCATTGTCGTCCCTTAGTACTTATTGATGGTACATTCCTGACAGGCAAGTACAGGGGTGTATTGATGATTGCCATTGGAGTGGACCCAGACAATCAACTTATCCCTTTAGCATTCACTTTGGCTGAGGGTGAGAACGACGATAGCTGGTGTTGGTTCATGAAGCTTATGAGACAGAATGTGCTCCGTTCATCTCAGAACATATGCATGATCTCAGATCAACATCATGGTCCACTGATAGCTGTGAAAGAGCATATAGATGGACGCCCTCCTCTTGAGCATCGATGGTGCATGAGGCACTTTGTTGCCAACATATGGAGGAGGCAGAAGAAAAAGGAGGTAGTGTAGAAGTTGAAGTCACTATGTGGGTGTCGAACCAAGGAAAAGTTTGAAGAGACGCCTGTGGAGTTACAGAAGGTCCTCAATGCTAGGTCTAAGAGTTGACTTGAGGATCAGATGCCTCAAAGGGACAAGTAGGCTCTTGCATTCGATGTCGGAGGTCTTTGGTATAGCGTGATGACTACCAATTCTTCAGAATCATTCAACAATGTATTCAAGGGTATCCGTGTAGTCCCCGTGTCAGGTATTGTGGAGTACTCATTCAGGAAGTGTAATAAATACTTTGTCAATTGATGGAACATAGCAAAGGCGTCCAAAGAGAAATAGGGTAGAGCCGGTAGAAAACACTTGGATCTCTCGGAGATGATAGCTTCCAACCAAGTGGGGGAGGCCTTTGGGCCATCAAGGTTAGTGTACAATATCAAGTCAGCCGGAGAAACGAACTCGGGGGGTGGGAAGTACGGTGGTAGGAATTATAGGGTGGACCTTGACAAAGCGGAATGCTCTTGTAACATTCCACAACTCCTCCATGTGCCTTGCTCGCATGTCATTACAGCTTGTAGATGTAGGGGTCTTGACCACAAAAGTGAAAAGTTCATGTCTCCTTTTTACCTCATGTCAAACACTCTCAAAGTGTGGGAGTTGA